TGACAGAACGACAGTGCAAATAATTGAACTAGAGCAATATGGTAGACGTTGTAACTTTGAAATCTATGGTCTCTCTTTTAAACCTGGTGAAAACCTGAAGTCCTTCATTAGTGGCTTAGCTGGACGTTTGAATCTAGTAAACTTTCAAGAAGAGGAAATACGCAAGGTACATCGTTTGCCAACCCACGATAAATATACACGCAGCCCACCCATTCTTGTGCAAGTACAGAACGCTTCAATAAAAGCAAATTGGCTTCAAGCTCGAAATGGCCTTCGCGATCTTGCCCAGTCCGATAACTTTCCTCACTTGTAGATTAATGAAAATTTGACACGGATGAATCGAGAACTCTTCCGATTGACCCACTGGAAAGGAAAAGAGAAAGGTTATAACTTCGTGTGGACGAGGGATGGAAAGGTGCTAGCAAGAACAGCGGAAGGAGCACCTACCATTCGCATTGAAAAACTATCAGATTTGGATAAGCTGGCTTAAACATGGCTGATATGAAAAGTATCACTTGCACCGACTTCATCTCATCTGACCTCATCTGACGGCTTCAATGTAGCACATGTGAATATTCGTAGTCTTCGGAAACATTGGAACCAGTTCTGTGCCATCACTTCTTCATCTCGCCTAACTTTCTATGCTTTTGTCCTTACTGAAATCAGCATTTCATCCCAGCAATTCTCACAGTTTATTCTGCCGGGTTACCAAGCCTTTTAATCCACATGCCCAACAAGAAAAGGACGAGGCATTGCCATTTTTATAAGTAACAGATGGGCAGTTTCGCAGCTATCCTTTTCCTTTTCACAAGCAGAAGTGTTAGCACTGCGCTTGAACACGCCCGCTTTTTCGGTGACTCTCTTATCGGTGTACCGGCCTCCTAGTTTCAATACGCGCCTTTTCGTATCTGAACTTGAATTCACACTATCATCCTCATCGATAGAAGAGCATGTGGGCATCATAGGAGACGTTAACATTGACCTTTTGCGTGCCACTGTAGGCCTCGTTGCTGGTTATCTAGACAGCCTTTCTAAATGGGGCATAGAGTGCCGAATAAATCAAGCGACTCGAGAGGAATAATTGGCTGGCAAGCTCGTCGTTTCGTGTTTGACCACGTTTTCGTACGTTCTCAGAACCTCTCACAAAAACCGCAATAGTACAGACAAAAATAGCTGACCATTACTTTGCAGCTCAATCAGCTGTCCACGTATGACGACGATGCCAACCGATACAAAAAAACTAATTTCGGTACTAGATTCAAAAAATTTGATAATCTGGTAGCTCATTATTACTGGAATTTTTGTTGTCAATAACGTCTCCTAGTGATCGCTACGACAAATTTGTAAAAGCGTTCATAAACCCAAAAGAAAGTGCAACGCGAACGATACACAATAAACAACGTAAATTGAATAATAAATGGATGTCAACACATATTCTCGCTGCAATAAAAGAAAAGGACTGGCTTTGGACACAATGTAAGCGTTATCCTAATTGTTCAGACTTGGGAGCCAAATTTAAGCAAGCCGAAACAAGGTTAATGCTATGATTTGCTCGGCTAAACAAACCCATTTCCGAGCCAAATTTAAGGATGCCAGTAACAGCAGCAAAAAAACCTGGGTGTTAATTAACACCTTTAGAGGCGCGAACACTCGCGTGAATAATTTGAATAACTTTTTTTCGAGTCAAGCCAACAACGCACAGAAGATTGCTGATGAATTCAACAATTTTTTCTCTCAAACGATTAAAAACACAAATTCCCAAGTAGGCCCACGCACTTTACGTTACAGTGTTAGCGAATCAGCTTATCTACCTTCATATCACATGAGAACTTAGGATCTATAATTTTCAGTTTGAAGTGTAAAAACTCTGCTGGTATTGATGGTGTTTTTATAACTGACTTGCACCGTACATTTGAATACACCCGTGAAGTTCTGCTAGCACTAATAAATAGCATTATTTCTAGTGGAGAAATTCCCATAAATTTGAAAACATCAATAGTTATACATCTACACAAATTCGGTGCGCATGATAAACTTGAAAATTATCGTCCGATATCAATTGTGCCTTCTATAGCACAATACTAGAAAAACATTTGTTGTTAACGATGACAAGCTTTCTTGATATTCACAACATCTTATCGCTTTGCCAGTATGGTCAGGGGAGTGAAACTTTCTATACCCTCCATGGAACGCGATATTCGCTCGCAGCGCCGGACGAACGCCTGGTGTTTGGGGGCGGTACGAAAACATGGCGGCGCATTGCAGACATGCACTGGGGGACGCCATCTTGATGAGGACTGAGGATCCGAGTGGCGAGGGGGGGATTTAGCGCCAAATTCAATTGGGATGCACCAGCAAGCCAAATTGAGCGAGTGGAAGGTATTCAGATGGCGAGCACGCGACCTTCTTCCTGTTGCGCAACCCGCCACATGATGAAAACGGCTCATTGCGTTCTGATTGATGGTCTGCCCATCCACCTATTTGTGCACTACTTATTCTAAGTAAGACGTTGTTTTTGTTTACGTGTACACATAAATTAGACAAGAATAAAGAGCAGAGTTTGTTTGAATGTTTTATTGCCTAAACGTACGGTTTATGCAGTACAAATACAACTTGAATGTTTTATTTTTGGTCGCATACAAAAGTGGACCGCACATGCCAGCATGCTAATAACCTAGTATCAATCCAGTGCACATTGCCGCACATACGTATATACAAAGACAAAAGAAAAACAGTAATAACTATACACAAGTTCACAGCACGTATCCCGATATAAAATCATCCCATGAGTGGGACAAGATAACGGCACACCGCACACTTAGGATGCAAGAGGAAATGATACAAAAACCATAGGTACCGGAGTTAGACATTGCTACATTTTCTATTCAGCATCAGGTTTCTTTATAAAAGCTTAAGCAAAAATTTACAAAATACTGAAGCCACTATAGAGTGTTCTCATAAAATAACACGAAGGTTTATGCTTTCTTCAGCGTACATACCTATATTGCTTAATGAAAAAAAAAAACAAAATACAAGCAGATAAATAGTACACACACATGTCCGCTTCAGAGGCAGAAAATGGTGACCTCAGCTATAGAAGTAGCGGTGACTCAAAAATGGAAGTAGCGCCTACTTTTGCGCATATGTGTGTCTTTTTGTCGTCGTGTTTTCTGAGCGCTCAGTTTTTCAAGACCTCAAATATGCAAACAGAATCCTAAAAGTTACAAAAACTTCCGCATTTTTCGTGCTGCAGCAGATTTTCTGGTGCGTTGTTTAGCCAAGGAGATGTTCACGAAGCGAATATGCCACAACAGGCGAATCCTTGCAAAGAGGTGCACAAAGGCTTTCTTGCATTCTTCAGAGCAGAATTTTTGCCTTCCTACAACTGTGCAAAATGCCTGCCAAAACTCCACTCACATTAGGCAGGTGCGCCACAACACCGATATATCCAAAAAGCAAGCTTCCATGGCCTTAATATCCTGAAAGCAATCGTCAGAAGGCATTGTTACATTGCCAAATAAATCTGAGGAGATGTTGCTTGCCTTAAACATAGCAAAATACTGTGTGATGCACAAAGCTGCGGTCGGCATTCTTCAAAAGGGTGTTGCACACACAGTGTGGAGGCCTGTGCAACAAAAATTGCCGTACGAGATATCCCCCAACATAGTAGAGAACGTTATCCTCTACTATATCATGGCTAACGGGCTGTTCCTCATCAGGAAGCATATCGACTGTTGGTGCTGCATCACAAGTAGTAGGAAGCGAATGAGGTGGCTCTGACATTTGTGCCAACACAGTGCTGCGATCCTGTTCACAGTTTCCTTCTGAAAAAAGGGCAACCAGTTTGCCAACAAAATGTTTTCAGACCTGATGTGAACTGAAGCACATTTGGGTTGTCATTGCAGCCATGCTTTAACCTAAGAAGCCCGAAAAGGTTCTCCAGGGGTCCTGCTGTAGCCAGCGAGTCAAGAGAACACGAAAATCAAAATCTTGGAAGAGGTCGTCCCAGAGGAGAAGGATAGCCTTTAAGGTGACCTTCCATGCCTCAACTGGTGTGGTTGCCGAGGCCCGTCAAATCCACCTTTCAACCCACGACAGGCACTCCCGCAAAAAGGCTAGGTGTTCGACCCTTCCGAAATTGCATAACGTAACTTGTCACTGGCTTTTTTTACAGAAGAGCTATTCAGACAGTCGAATAACTTATCTATCTTCTCGAGAAAATCAGCTGTTGGTTTGGCGGATGCCGGCAACACGCAAGAGCAATGAATACATCAATGGCCACTGAGACCGATTCGCTCATCACCTGGCTGGCATATTTAACTTTCATGTTATTGAAAGGCTTCCGGTAAATGTGGTTGTCGGTTAGTTTCTTCGCCAATTTGAGTTTGAGAGGATGCGAGCTTTCGTATAGTTGCGTAATGAAAGACCAATCCACAATTTCTTGCCCGATATGGAGCTTGTGAGGTGCGCGGAGATTATTCCTTGTGCATTTAAGTAAGTGTGGTGTGTCATATAGGAAATAAATCTTGCGGCCTTCAAGCACAAAAAACGGCTCTTCAGGCGTCACACCTAGCTTACTTGCCAAAGTGATGTTGCTTCTTCCCCCCTGGTCGCAGATGAGCGCCTTCACAAACAACCGGCTCCCTGCAGCTGCTGAGAGTATCTGCGGGCGTTTTGGTCCTTGATACTGTGTAAGCAACAGGCTGAATCCACGTTTTTGAAATGCCTGCCACAAGTATCAGGAGCGCTGAATTTGCCACGGCTGGTGTTCTTTGCCTACCGTCATCGGAGAATCCCATCACAATGTCATGCTTTGCATCATACTGCAGATGTTCCTTCAAGGACATTTCGTCAAATATTAATGTGCACGCACGATCTGTTAAATGCCAATTTCGGGTAGCTTCTTCGAGGGCTTCAATAGCGGTTGGAATAACTCCGGGAGTCATCGGAATATTTGATAACCACTGCTTTAGCGACCTCACAGTTGGCATGTCAAGCAGTCTTGACAGATGTCTGTACGCTTTCGGACCATGAAAGTATAAGTTTAAAGCGAACTGGCGGTGCTCGGGCGACCACCTCCGTCCTCTACGTTTCACGCCATTAATTTTAACTTGAGTCTCAAGCAATCTAAAGAATGTCTTGCGGACGTAGGGCCTGATAGCATTCAACGCCTCGGACTGGGAAAGCTTTTTAACCTTTCTCTTGCCAATTCTTGACAGTGCCTTCCGAAGCCTTGAATTTATCTTCTCCAGGTTCTTCATTTTTCTGGCTGTCCGGGGCGAGCACCTAGAAGGCTTGTGTTGTCGACCCGCTGGATTGGAACCTGAAAGATTTAGAAAAAAAGCTCATTTATACTGTGTTTTTGTGAAAGCTGACCATGATCTTTAAACCTAGTAAAAGTTCTAGCGGCTTTTAGAATTGAAGTGATTACTTCCATGAGTAATCAGTTGGTCATATTTAGTTCTCGATCCTTCACTTATTCAAACTTGGGGCATTGGGAACAGGCCTCTGATAAGCACACTGCTGGGCATTGAGCCTACTAATGGCATGTATAAGCATCGTGGGCAACATGAAGCGTCAACTAATTTTTCCTAATCATTAGCATACTCCTTGTTAACAAACATTATTGGTTATACGTTTAAAATGGTATGTTTAGGAAAAAACAACGAATTCATAGTCTTCTTTAAAAACACTAATCCCTCTTATAATAATAATAATAATATCTGGGGTTTAACGTTCCAAAACCACGATATGATTATGAGGGACGCCGTAGTGGAGGGCTCCGGAAATTTCGACCACCTGGGGTTCTTTAACGTGCACCTAAATCTAAGCACACGGGCCTCAAACATTTTCGCCTCCATCGAAAATGCAGCCGCTGCGGCCGGGATTCGATCCCGCGACCTGCGGGTCAGCAGTCGAGCGCCATAACTACTAGACCACCGCGGCGGGGCACTAATCCCTCTTAGGAGGCAACAAACAAGCAAGAAAGGGATCGGACAAGCACTCGTCTCGTCCTGCCTTTCGGTATACATCGCTCTGGTTCTCGTCCCTAGCAATGAACTAGCTCGCCCAGCTGACACCCTAGTGCACTTTAGGATCTGTTAAATGGTACGTGACATTAAAACGATAGCTGCAGGGCATTAATTTATCTGGAATAGTTTTAAAGAGCTTAGAGAGCAATACAATTTGCGTACATGAGGGCTCAGTCTGTTGAACTTCTTCATCGGCGCTGTGAGCGGGCATTGCAGTGGTATTCGCGGGCCGAGGAGAGCCTGTGAAGAGAAATTGGCGGAGCACAGATTTCAGCGTGACATACATACAGCTGGTATTAGGCGTCACATTAAATATTTGCAATTACAATCACTCAGGGCGTTTTCTCACTATTAATTGGTCTCCTCGCGTATTATGTCTCAGTACGAGTAATAAAAAAGTGTAAACACCAAAAAGAGAACGCTACGTGTCACTCACTAAATATATGGGTGTCCCAACTATCCTAAACCAATATTTTAAAAATCTTAATGCGATGTGCCTAGAACAGGTTAACATCGTGGTGCCCGTGATGACCTAGCGCGTAACCGAATTCTTGCCAATTACACTTATTTGGCCCATTGAAAATAAAAGTAATTTTGTAATAATAAAGCTAATAAAAATAAAGTACCTTTTGGATTCTTAATTTTAAAAGCGACTTTGAACTAGGGTGTCGTAGAATTATATATATTTTAAAAGGCCAGTTCTGTTGCTCCCACTGTCAGAGCTATCGCGCAATTGTTTTAACAGCGACACCAAGTTGGCCGCTACTCACTCGCCATGTGCGAAATAGCTGATAACGCGCCACATGGAGTACTCTCTCAAGTTATGAGGTCATTTTCGCCTTTTCCTGTAAAACGCTACGCCACGGGTAAAATAGCAGAGACAACTGAATCAGAATCGAGGAGGTTACATGTAGAGCGTTCTGAGTGAGACGTTTGCTCTAAATTTAACGATTGTGAAGCCGGCAAATTTTTTACTTAGCTAGTTATATCTACCAGCAAAATATGCCGGCGAATCCATGGATGCTGTGTACACCATGCGTTGGTATTGTTGGTGTAATCTGCGCGAGAATCTTAAAAATACTGAGTCATGATAACTCGGACAGGTACACATATTGAGTATTAAGACATTTCTGTAAATAGATGTAGAGGCATGAAAGTTTGTGCTGTTGTATGATCACTTTACAGTATTCCCACCTGGACTTTCGACGTGTGTGCCCATCGCCAAAGATGGAAACTGTTGGCACAGCACATCTTAGCAGCCTTGTCTGTCCAGGGTCTGCGTAGTCTCTGCTGGTGAAATGGGCAGAGCACAGGCGGTAGCTGCTGTAGATCTGACGAGGTGGTAAATGAGCCAGGTCCTGCCGTCTCGCATACTGAAGCCAAGCGCGAGATCTGGAAAATCAATGTGTGCGTGTGTAGTATTTGGGTTAGAATGGATTTATTTCTGTTTTCAGGCGTAGATGGATAGCTTTGAGTGAAAACTGGCATCTTTATTCGAAGTAAGCGTTATTTGATACATTTCTCATCTTCCTTTCTTAATTGAATTTTTGTAACCAAGACGAGTTGTGATGGCAATCCTGAAAGCAAACTTTAAAATAAAATCTGTCTTTATTATTAAGAGACGCGGATACATGCTTCTACTTGCGCGATAGTAATGTTTGGTGGCAACGACCCAGCTTTCCTCCTAATTCAAAATATATTTTTGCAGACAATAGCAATCATCCCACACCAAAATCTCTAAACAACTATTCGTACATATATACCCTCGCGCACGGTGTATTCCTCGGGTATTTCTCGCGCCCTGCTGCAAATCTTTCATAAAAACCTTATTAAAACCGGTAATAAATTAGTAGAACACGTAAGTTTACATTGTCCAATTATTTATGGGCTTTTAGCTGCAATTGCATTCTATCGTAATTGTACTTAAGGCTGAAACTGAAAACATGAAATTGAAGTATACATTATAAATTATTACTTTATAAATTTATTGCTAAATTCCTCTGCAATATGCCGTGGATTTACGTGAGGCCAAAATGAAAACACACAATTGAAACGCAATAATGTAATAACATCCGTCTAAACTCGCAAGTGTATAATTTATGTACTCAGTACTTAATTAACATAGTACTAACAACACATGCTATGAACGTATATGGACCCTCCCTTATAGCCAAAAGATTATGGGAATCGCCTTCCTCCAGCTATGGACATAAATAGGCTGATAATATTCAAGAATAATAATAACGCATGCAACGAGAACAGACTGAACGCAGGCAATCAAAAGATAATAAAATAGTGCGGATAAGCTTACACTGTTCTATTAGTTACTGTATATGCTGCTACAAATACATTTGTGACATGCCTTGCATTGCCTTGAGCCAAAGTGCAACATCGAAATGCAATGCACGATCGAAACGCATTAAATTGAAAACGCAAGTATAAACAATCGTGCGTAGCAAATGTATTCGCTGGAATAATTTCCAGATGCTCTGCCGTGCATGTCATGTATAATTGAAGCCGAAAAGCAGACAATCAGAATGTAATGAATAAATCATGTACGTGTAGCTCATTAAATTACACAGCTACTGCAGCAACCGCATCCTGATATGCCGTGCAAGCGTAGAAAGACAAAACGAGCAGCATGCAGATCGTACCTTTCGTCCGCCGGGATCCGAAAGAATTTTATGCTGGTGTGTCGTGAAGAATTCCGACACCACTCAGCGCAGCAGATTTGTGATGACGGCGAGAATCCATGGATGCGTCTGTTTGGCTGAATCTTGCATGGGTTTCGCTAAAACAAACTTTACAGCGGTAAAAGCGGCCTTTGGGACACCGCAGGCTGTAGCCATACATGGGCGCGCGAAAAGAAACGCCCCTTTTTGCCGTGAGAGATAGGACGACTGCGCAGTTCCCGTTTTCACTTCGGGTGGCGCTCTTATTTTCGCAATCTCGAACTGAAACAACCTTTAGGTTCACTTGTGTAGTAAAAACTCCGGAGTTAATGAGTAACCTAGTAATAACTATAAAATAGAGCAAGAACGTTCATTTAGGTAGTACAGCCCCAAACGTTAGGATCGCTGCGGTTACGGGACAGAAAAACCGCGAAGTTTCACCACCCTGGTATGGTTTTCGATAGGGGAAAAGCACTCAGACGCTACTGGAGGACTTCTCCGATCAGTTGAACGAGGCGTTCGATAACAACAAAGTTGCCTGTGCGCTCTTTTTTGACTGCGGCAAGGCTTCGATAGTGTCCATCATACCTTGTTATTGTATAAACTTTTTCAGTTAGGGTTTAGGGGTGCTTTCTGGTCTTTGTTGGCAAATTTCCTCCAAGGCAGGCGTCAAGTTGTATCCATTGAACAATCTCACAGCGCGTTCAAAATTATTCAAACCGGCGTTCCACGGGGATCAATTCTTAGTCTGCTGCTATTTAATATTTTTGTAAATGACCTTCACAGCGCGATACCGGTTTCTCTATATCAATACGCCGACGACACTGTGATCGTGACGACTGCAAACAACTTTAACGAGGTGATTACTCTTCTTCAGTCAGCTGCCACTAAAGCCATGGATTGGTTTCGAGATAATCTTATTATATAAATGTGTCTAAAACTAATCTAATCTGCCTCCACAACCCATTGAAGAAAGTAACCCTTGGCTATCCTTTCACTTTGCATTGTTCTGACTGTTCATCCTGCTCTTGTAGTCCATTACAGTATTGTTCTGTTGTGAAATACCTTGGCTTATACATTGACAGTGACCTTTCCTTGAATAGTCATCTTGCCTATGTTTGCAAAAGACTTCGCGCTGTGTCACGTCTATTAGATAACATAAGATACTACATGCCGTTTTCAGTACGTAAGATGATAGCAAACGCTTTAGGTTACAGTATACTGCGTTACGGAATAACCATTTCGGACACTGTGCTGTCTGTTGGCACAATAGAATAAACAGAATATTGCATTCGATTTTAAAAAAAATATCTTACGACCTGAACATTGATTCTGAGAAAAACATTTTCAAAACGCTGTTTATGCCAAACTACAATGATCTTTTATTTCAAACGGTTGTTTTAAAACATTTCTGGTCCAAAGAATTCCTGGTTCCGTATGTTACTTCTCGTTCTTTAAGGCCCAAAGTACGTTACTGGAAGCCGCGGTGTTCGACAAAGTATGGAACTAGAATACGAGCCGATTATGTACCAACCTATTTCAATGCACTTTCCCCCGCATTTTTCGCACAAAACCAAATACAAATTAAAAAACTGCTACGGCGTATCTGTCTACAATTGTATTGCATATCGCGTGTTAATTTATATACACTCATTCGCAAGGATGCTGCTGCACAATTATCCAGTGTGTTACTTTGCTTAAGAAGCATTTGCTCTAATTATTTCTTTTTTCCTTTACACCTTTTCACTTTCAATTGCTGTAAATATTGTATAATGCTTTTAACTATTGCTTTTATGCTTTGTTGTTTCTGAACTTATATGCACGTTGTTTTTTGTCCTGTCATCCTCTTAGGCCAAAAAGACAATCTTGTAACGCGTCTGGTTTTTTCGTTGTCTGCCAGGCTCTGCCACTCAAGCCACCAATTGGCTTTGGCAAGCCTAGTCACACGTTCTGTTTTATTTGAAGAAATAAAAGGTATTATTACTATTATTATTATACTAAGTAAATTGAACCAAACGCATGCTTTGTCGGTCTCAAGGTCATGTTGAATTGGCGTAAGAACTATTCTTTAACCTATGCGTGAACTACCCAGAACTAGTGCCCGTTCAACCCTTATGAAGTATAATTACAAGAGCTAAAGTATGTGTTTTTGCAAAATATTAATATAATGAATCGATATTCAACAGTCATCTCTGTGTGGACTGGGGAAAGGGAAGTTGGTGCGTGCGTGACACTACTACAACCGAACAAAAGCCATATCTCTTATGAGTCGATATAAACTGTGCGAGAAGAATACGGCTAAGCGTATCTTCCTTGCCTGTCGTCCTGTTTGCAGTTTTTAGTCGGAAAGATGCAACAGCAACACTTCCGATGTTTCAGGCCAACTGTTACGGTATGACACCACAGCCCTAATCAAAGTGGCCATTTCACAGTGCCACCGAGCCCCTAACAGATATCATGCACCAGGAGAAAAGAATTTCAGAAATTGGCGCGGCCTTGAAATCCGACCGAACGGAGGAGCTGCGAAGCGAACGCTGCCACTCGGAAATGTGCAGATTCAGTTGTTTATTCGCCTTTCATCACTTCCTCTTTTTTTACTTTGTTTTTATCTCTATTTTAAAGTTCTTACCTGCCTTCCTGATATTTAGATTCTTCTGCCTCACATTCACCTC